TGATGAACTGTAAATTTTTTTTTAAAAAAAAATTGAAAGCTATTGGTTTAAAGTTACAGAAAATGTTAAATCACAAAAATACATTTATAATCAATTTTTAATTTGTTTTCTTAATATATGTGAAAAAATCTAAAAAAATACATCATTAAAAGACATAGGAGTAGCATTTACATCTATATAAATTTAAAATGTTTCTACTGTATTTTAGAGTTAAAATTAACCATAAAAATAAGTAAACATGACAAATTAAACTACAAAAAAAATCGTTGACTAAAAGACAGTATCAGAATCTTGTTATTTGCTTGGTGCCCGAGAATCACATACTTGGAACGTAAAATATGGGTTCATACATAGAATAATAGAAAGTCTATATTAGAAAAAGTAATAAAAAGAAACAAATGATTTGTGCAAAGCCACTAATGTACAAAGCGTGTGGAAAGCATTATGAGTGGGAGCCCTACAGGCACGCTCGCATTCTTTTGCTGTCGCTCGGGTGGGTCAAACTGTGTGCCAGTGCTCCCTATTTACTCTCAACTTCGTGTCGTTTTTTTGTGTTGCCTCTTATTTATTTTAATTCTAATATACTTTATAATATGAAATATACCTCAATTGTTTTGCTGTCGCAAATAGAACCGACTATTTGAATATATAGTGGTTTATGACAGTACCGAATTTTTATTACATATAGTATTATAAGATATGACAAAAAAATTATGTTATAATAAAAAAATTTCAACCATTATATAAAAATAAGTATTGTAAGAATAAAGTATGTCTGTACCAACATTTTTTATTATAAAATATTGCATAACGCTTGTAATAAAGTAATTGTCTGCTTTTTTAGTTTAGTTTAAAACTTTAAATACATAGGTTTGATTTTCCATCTTTTATATATATACTGAAAACTGAAAAGCATGAGAGTATGGATGAGTTGACGTAGTTAATTATAGAAAATTGTGTCTTAGTTAATAAAGGCTTAACATACCAAATTTCAACTTGAAATGCTACCCATTTTTGTGTCGTCACATATTTTATTAAATATAATCAATTATACTATCTAGTTTTTCTAAAATATAAAATCAGTGTAATAGAAATGTCATAAAACATCGAATGAAATAACATTTCCTTATTGCCACATATAATATATAGATTTCAATTTAGAATATTCTTTGGCAACCAAAGACATATATATAAAATAGTTTGAACTTTTTTGCGTAATATTTTTTTTCACAAGATCTATAGTAGTAATGAGCAATAGAGTAAACTTTAACCAGCAAAAATAAGGAATAGAGTATAATATCATTGTAATGTAAATATTACATAGGTGGTGGCAAGTATATATATATATATATTTTTTTTGGACAAAGAGGTGGTGGCAAGTATATATGATTGTATGCTTTGTAGCTAAACCATTAGGAAAAGTATTGTGTAAGTATAGAAAAGAAACCTAAAAAGGTCCGAGATCTGTATTAAAGATAAATAAATAAATAAATATAGTCATTATGTATGTTTACTTACCTGCATCTATTAATAACAAAATAAATTATTGAGGAAAAAAAAGTATCCTCATTCGGAAATAGAAGATGCTTTCCCTTTGGGGAAACTCCACGATAATAATAATATTCATAACAAAACCAGTCATTGTCTTGCACCACTCCAGTTTTTAAAAACGTCTAATAACTTTACTTAATATTTTATTAACCCTATTAATATTTAGGAGAAAAATAATCGTGTGTTGGGTGTGAGTGGTGGACAAACAACTCTGATATTTAAAGAATTGCAGTTGCAGAGAACATTATGTTATATTATTGTTTAATTTAATGAATTTTCATACATAAACATCTGGCGCTTATTATTAAAATTCGATATACTGTGAATGCTCTTTGGCTCTTTGCTACTTAACGTCCTCCATTTGAATTAGTTTTGCATGTACGTAATTGTCATTTGAAGATTTCTATTGTGTCTAACAATTTAATACGCGGATTGAAATTTAGGTGATGATACGTAAATTAAACTACTACTATCTATCATGTTCATACTTAATGAAGCTGGGTCCAATTTCACTATACTTAAAAAAAAAATATGGAGTCTAAATATGGCGGAGGTATAGTGTTATAAGAGGGTGGTCAATTGACACCCATGAATTTTGATTTTATAAGAGGGGGTCAATTGACACCCATGAATAGAAGCTGCATAAATTATGATTTTGATTATAAAGCCTAAAAATTTCTTGTAAACTCAAGTTGGCAAAGGTTTTACTATAGAAAAAATTCCAAATATTTATATATAAATTAAGTTTAAATATGTTCATCTATTGTAAATCTTGATAAATTTTAGCATTTGTGACATTCTTTAATTATCAGGGTTTTTGTTTTGCAGATGATAATCTTCGAAACACATCAATGTCTTAGGATTATTCAACTGTTTTCTTTTGCAAAACGGTTGACACCCAAATTTTGTTGATGGCACTCTATAAATACCTATCTAGCTAGTCGTTATGATATGCTATTAAACACATTTATTTAGAATTTTACATCCGTTTATGTATTTTTTTTTTTGTTAACAAGAATTAACATTTTGATATAACTGGGTAATATTTTAACTGAAAAATACCTAACCTAATAAAGTCTGTACGTAGTATATATACATGTTCTCATAAACACAGAGGAAGAAGCACAATCTTCCTCTCATATTAGATCAACATATGGTGAATCCTCAACTGCGGTATATTAATATATAATAATAAAAATTCTCAACACTTTCAAGAATTATTGTGTCTGTTATGGCGTGGTCACTTAAGCTACCTAACCCATTTATAAATAAATCATGACTGTTTATTTGTTTTAAGAAATTCATTAGTGTAATTTAAAGAAAAGTAAGCGTGGCCCCAAGATATGAGACTTTATACGATCATCATATGTAACAGCTGAAGGATCAATTAGCATTTCAGTATATATTTAATTTACGTTTTGTGTAAGCTCGCCGTTGATAAGTGTTTCGAATGCACTAATCTTACAAACTATAAAGAATGCATTTTGTTATAAAAAAAAAAGTGTTTCGAATGCACTAATCTTACAAACTATAAAGAAATAAAACTATTAAAATGAACTGATTTAGCGATAGATTTAAAGATTTATTTTCCTATTTTATAAGAAAATTGTAAAAATCGGAAATATCTATGTTGTTATGTATCATCTTATAATTTTTTTTAAAAAAAAATTCTTATGAAATCAGTATTCACACAAAGTTTATAACAAGGAACTTTAAATATAACTAAAACATATATAATCTTCTTGTAATTAAATGGGAAATTATTATGGTCAGAACAAAGTAATAAACCTTAATACTATTATTTGGAATTTTAGATATTGTTAGAATATCATCATGACAATATTTCCTACGTTAATTAATTAAGGCTCGACCTCTCTCTCGCTAAACTCCATTATTACGACCTTGTTATCTTAGACACACAATTATGATCACTAAACATTTACTATTCTATTTAATTACTTCCTTAATGTTGAAAATTTTGATGTGGTTGAATCAAGAAGTTAAGCAAGGAATCATCATTGTATATTAAAATAGTTTTCTGACAGTTTTTTTTTTTTTTTTTTTTAGTACAGTTCTTTAAGGTTGGTTAGCAAATAGTACGCCCTAAAAAATATTATTGCCATTTATTGTGCAATTTATTTTGTCCCATGTCAATGCAAAAATTAACGCCATTGATCTAGATATTTACAACCATTTAGTATACAATTTTGTTAGATTTTTGGCATGGTACTAAATTTTGTATTCATATTTTTCGTAGATATGTAAGTTTGTGGTAGAATAATCTTTTCTGTTTCCTAGCATGCTAGTTTAACCACATTCTCCAATGTTTTTTGTTATCGAGACTATGGTCCAAAAATTATAGTATTAAACGTTTCATTGTCACAAACTCATTTTCCCTTCAGGAAAAAAAGCATCTCGATATAGATAGAAACAAACAACTCATGTGCTTAAAAGGTTAAATGTCAACACCAACAAGAAATTACTGATATACCCTTATCACCGACCCTAAATCTTGTTAGCCAATGAGAGATGCTCCTCGATTGTGTGTCTTGTCTGAGTCTGCGATTGGTTAAACGTCTTTGGCCTATCATTAGGCAACGTTTAGCCGCAAAAACCCTCTCCGATTAGTTGAGTCATATTATTAATTTCATCGATAAAATCAAATAATAAATAATAGAAAAAAATCAATCAACGGTCCTCGAAAGCATAAAAATGTATTAAAATAAAACAAAGTTCCTTGAGAACAAATGAGATCTGAACATGTGCGACTTGCCTATTCAAGGACGACACTTGTCTTTTCCTGAATTATGTGATGGTCTATCATAGACTATACAAGGACGAGTGTTTATTGGTTGATTGAATTAAAAAGGTACAACGAAAAGAAAAAGAAAACTAAAATAAAAAAAGAATGTTTTTGATATTAACTAATCTCACTATGAAATGAAACCTTTTTAATTACAATTGAATTATACTAATAGTTCTTGTACTATGTTGATGTGGAATACTTACCTAAGAAAAATCCATTGATATTTTCCTTGTATAGTATACATCAACACTAACATTGTTTTCTATAGCATCGTATTTTATTTGTGTAGCTATTCAAAATGGTTTTGGAACATAATTTATCACCATAGATTTTGTTAAGCACTGTTGCAATTCTCATTTCGTCAAATTGTTGGAAAAACAACTATCATTTATTCATTCACATGTTTACCATTTGATTATTTTATTTTTGGGCAAACATTTAATTTTATCCTTTAGCATTTACGTTAAAAATAAAAAGTTATCTTAGCCATAAAATGAATTGTTACATTATTTGATTTTCTTTCTTTTTTTTTTAAATCTCAAGAACGTTTAGTATATTTTGAAGGGAAGCCCAATTGGTAGATTTAAGTGATCAAGAAGTTTTTAAAAATTATAAAAACTCGTAGATCTTAGTAATATATAAATAAAATAATGAAAAGCCCAGAAATTTTTGTCTGGGAAATACTCATAGACAATCACAGCTCAACAGCTTTTTAACTTCCCTCTCACTCTCAGATCATTCCTGTTTCATATTCATCTCTCTCCCATCTCTCTCTATCTCTCCTCTCTCGCTCTCCCTTTTCGACTTGAGAGTTTGGGAGAAAGAAGAAGAAGAAAAAAGGTTGGATTTTGTTCACTTTATCATCTTCAATCTATCAACCCACCTGAGTTTTCTCCATTTCTCTCCTCTGTGTTTTGTTCTTTTTCATCACTTTTTCTCTGTTTGGTTTCTTGTCAGTTTTCTAAAGAGCTTCCAAATCTGAGATCCTCTGTTTTCTCTTCTCTGTTTGCTTTAATTGTCTCTGGATTCGGATCTGACCACTAAAGAGAGGTTTATCGTTCAGACAACAAAACTCAAAGATCGAATCTTTCTTTTTTTCCTTCTTTGTCCTTAGAGTCTGGAAAAAGCAGCTCTCTTTAGATTCTTCAAAGCTTTAGATGCTTATCTCTCTTTCTCTCTCAGATTCCATTTCAAAAATGCCATTTTAACAGATCAAAATCTCCCACTTTTCTCTCTCTCTCTCTATCTACTATCTCTTTGAGCTCCACCATTGATAGAAACAAAATCGAAAACTCTGTTTTTTTCTTTCTTTCTTTCTTTCTTGATTCGATCAACAATCGTTGAAAAGATGCACAGAGGAATCCAAGTTATGTCACCAGCAACATATCTAGAGACATCAAACTGGTTGTTTCAAGAAAACAGAGGAACCAAATGGACAGCTGAAGAAAACAAGAAATTCGAAAACGCTTTAGCCTTTTACGACAAAGATACTCCTGACAGATGGTCCAAGGTCGCTGCCATGCTTCCAGGAAAAACCATCGGAGATGTGATCAAACAATACAGAGAGCTTGAGGAAGACGTTAGCGACATCGAAGCAGGTCTTATACCAATCCCTGGCTACGTTTCCGATTCATTCACACTCGACTGGGGAGGCTACGACGGAGCCGGTGGTAACAATGGGTTTAACATGAACGGTTACTACTTTTCCGCCGCCGGAGGAAAGAGAGGATCCGCCGCACGAACGGCGGAGCATGAGAGGAAGAAAGGTGTTCCATGGACAGAAGAAGAACACAGGTAAACTAAATCATCTCTCTACGTTAACGTCAATGCTTTTCTTCTCTAGATTTGGACCCCTTACACTTTATTTTATAAATATACGTACGTCTTTTTCTTGGAAACGTGTTTATGTATACGTATAAAGATACGTATCGTATAAATATATATATATATATATATATATATATATATGTATTCTATAAAATTAAGATATATAGACATCCACCAAAACAATTGTAACTTTAGTGCGTGTCTTATGATCTACGTATTGGTTAGACAGAGAGACACACATTATTTTGTAGTAGATACTTCACATGTTTATATTATCTTAAAAATTTATTTACCTTTTTTATGTATCGAGTTTAGAAATCCATTGGTAAACTATATACAGAGCAGATGAATTTTTGTTTCTTCTAGGCTCTTGATTTGTGGAATGGGTTTAATTGGTGTCTTGGTGCGGTTATTTGTTTTGCACGCATGGACATTGTAGTGGGACATGGAACACTGATATAAACACGAGGCATGCGATTTTATTTTGGCTACAACTATAGCATCTAGTTTAGTTGTTTGTATTAATGTCGTATTAATGTCATGCTCATATTAAAATCTCGTATAATGCATGTTGTTGATAAAAAAATTATTGTTTTTCTTATATGAAGTTATTGCTTATGTGTTAAGAGTCGATTTGGTTTATTTAGGTTTTGGTTTGATTATGGTATGGTTGATGAATGTGTGCAGACAATTTCTCATGGGTCTAAAGAAATATGGGAAAGGAGATTGGAGAAACATAGCTCGTAACTTTGTGACCACACGAACCCCAACGCAAGTCGCAAGTCACGCTCAAAAGTATTTCATACGTCAAGTCAACGGTGGCAAAGACAAACGCCGATCAAGCATCCACGATATCACCACCGTCAACATCCCCGACTCTCCTGACGCTGCAGCCGCGGATAACGCAACTGCAAACGCACCTTGCTCACCCCCATCAATAGGAGGAAGCCAGCGGGAAACGTCGGAATGGGAAGGTCAAACACTATACGATGAAACAACGGCTGCGTTTTATAGTCAAAACGCGTTTTCAGAAACGCTACTTGGAATGTCTTCGACGCCATACATGGCTAAACTGCAGGAGCAGAGTTTTCTGAACGCATCGCAATTCGAATCGTACAATGCGTATCTCCAAATGTAGCACAAGGTGAAGATCTCGGAGACGTTAAGAGTTATATAATCATTAATAAGTTTTACTATTTTTGTTTTTTCTTAATCGGCGTGCATATACAAAAAATATTAGCTACTTTTTTTTTTTTTTACGAGATGCTATTTGTTGTTTTGTTTACCATCTTTTTCCGTGGTTGATTCAACGAGTTTTCAACAAATTAATTAGGTTTTGTTATTTTATTTACCGAGTGATAATTTATTTGAGTGATTTGGAACTCTTATGAGCTCAAATTGCTTATCAGAATTTATGTTGTGTTATATTTGTAGACTTTCATTACAATTTTTTCCCCTTACTGGTGGATTTTTAATTAATAAATTATGATTTTTAAAACTTGGTTAGATTGTGTGCCAAATTTATCTTAATAAACGTTAAAGTCTCTCAAGTCTCAGTGTGAGAGACTGAGAGCTGAGGCTAAAAATATATAGCTAGCATGCATATAAATGTAAAATTAAGAAAAATGTCGATTACAAAAAAAAAAAAATCAGTTTTAAATCAGTTTTTCTAGTATAGAATGAATTATCTATTTATGAATTTTTTTTTTTGGACAAAGATCTATCTATTTATGAATAAGCAGCCAAAAGTATGTAAAGTGCCAAGTGGGTTTCCCACTAATCAAAGATTATTTAACTTGTTGTGGTGATAAATCTGTAATCGAAACCTGGCTTTGTGCTGATAATGATGTTTTTTCTCTTAGCAACATCTAAACTTTTTTTTCTTATGTAAAATACAATTTTAAGATTTAAGTTTTCAATTACTTTAGTTTCCCAACTGTTTTATTTAATAGGACTGAAGTTCGAAGTTGACAAGAGAATGAGAATCTACAGAGAGCCTATAGAAAGACCCTAAATAAAAAGCCACAATGATTGATATACTTTTGTTGCAATTTTAAATCCTCACCTTGGAAAATTACATTTTCATAATTCCTTTGTTAATTGTATTATATTTTCCTTTCAACCCATACACAGTACAATTAGATTCAGAAGAAAATTGCTTTTTATTCCCCCATATAAGGTACTAAATAATAATGTGATTTTCATAAGAACAACATTTTAACTACATTTTAAACAGTCGTGAAAGGGGTTCAAACCTAGGCAAAGATAAGGATGATATTTAGAGATAGCCACTAAAATGACTTTCTGATTATTTAATTAGAATAATAGTTTCCAGTTACTTTTTTTAAGATTTGGAACTTTTCAAATTATTAGTGAATTTGTTCTTTAAATTGATGTTTGGTGGGTTCCATTTTGATGCCTTGTGAGTAATACGAGAAGTATCTCCATATAATTGAAATTTGACTTTGAAGGAAAACCGTTGATTTCCAATCATTATTCCTGTAAATCTATTTTGGACTGATTCTTTCTTTTCCATATAATGTTACATTTGTTTTTCTTTTCCTCCTATTTAAGCCATAACTTACTTTATTTGTTTCTAAAAGTCATTCAAGGTTTTAATGGTTTAGTTTTAAAGTTAGTCTTGGTTTATTAATGTAGTTGCCTAAAAATGATTTGAGGATTTGGTCAAATACATGAGAGTTACTTTTGCTCAAGGATGGAACATGAATATATTTTTCTCTGTCTTCTTTTCTATGTTTTTCCGAAACCACAACACAATCACCTCATCTAACCTCATGGGGCCTATCATAACATATAATTGAAAATTTGAAATCTTGGGCACACAACACAAGTACTACACAAAACCGATTGTTCTTCGATCATTTTCTTGTGTTGCACCATCTTTCTTGTTGCACATTGTGTACCTATAGGTGACAGAGAAATATAACAAGAGATTGAACATGCAAAACACTGTTATAACCCAATAATAGTTATCCAACCGGCTCTTGTTTATTGTGTCTTGAAACCATTTGCCTCCGCTTACTCTGCCCACCACACTAACAAGAGCGATATTGCTCATGATCCCCACCCCGCACACGCCCACGTTAAATAGAACCATGTATTGGCTCAACTCTTCAGGCACCGTTTCTTCTAGGTAAAGCGCAAAGCTGTTTTCGTAGATACCTGTGATTGACCCGAGAAGAATGTACTGTGGGAGTAGCCAGAATACACTCATGGGGACGGTTTCATATAGCAAACCTTGAGTTCTAACCACTTTGAGTCTCCTGGACTCAACGTGTGCAGCAATTGAGCAGCAGAAGATGGATAGGATGATGGAGACTGGTATACCATAAGGCGTTTTGGTTTGTTTAGGTGATTCAGGGAGGTCAATGGCGTGGCGTTTTGCAGCCATGACGCATAGTTCTCGGGATCCTAGTCTTGCAGCCTCACTAAAGAGTAAGAGGAGTGGGAGAGGGAGGTTCCATGATCCGAACTTGGAGTCCATATGGTTTGCTTGTTCGAGGAAAAAAGTGTTACCGAGGGAGAAAACAATCCCCGAAATGAGAGATGTCGCGAACAATGGAACCGTGCGTATGACGCTTTTCGTTTGTTCCACTTCCGTCACCCGACAAAGCTTCCATCTGTTTTTCCTCTGTTGTTCCAAAGGCTCTGTTTGGAGTATCATTGCAGCTCTGTCTAGGCACCTGTACATGTTTGAAAAAAATCAAGAGTTATGAGTGTTATACTGTTATACACTAGTGTTGGTCCATTCACACTTTCAATGTGGGGTTCCTAACAGCTCTTAAGGAAATGATTTTTTATTGAACCTTAAGCTACTTGTGTGGGGCTTAATATCTTGATCACACTCGGCTTTTTCATAGAGCTGGCTTGAGTTGTTCGGGTATGCACAAGACATTTTGGAAGCAGAAGCCACAAAGACCCGGAAAATTGCTGTCAAAGGGCTCCCACCTGGTTTTACCCGTCTGTATGAACACGTACCGGACAGAAAAATCATCATTGCTAATACCTCACAGCCCGAGGGGATCGCGAATCGTACAAACCACGGACTTATCTGAGGCATTGCAATAGCAGCAAGTAACAAGAACACAAGATTCCCAACATTTCCAATGACAAAGCTAACGAGCTTCGCGGGGTTTCCTTTGTTCCTACCTTCTTCTAATTGGTCTTCTGTAAATACTCCCAGAGAGATAGACCTTCCAAATATACCAACGGATATAACTGTTAGGGCTACGTAGAACAGACCCTTTTGTCCATTGCCAGAAAGTATTGGTGACGCTGATATTGCCAAGAACCCGAAACCCTGAACATGAGAATGCGTAATTTTCACTTCTAAACAAAAGATATAATCAGAATACATAACCAATGTTAAAGAGGAGGTCAAGTTCTTACGAAACTGAATGCTAAAGTAGAGAGACAGAGCATCCAAAAGTGACCAATAAATGCATCAACTAGAAATTGCATGCTGAGATGACCAATAGCTGATACACCAGCAAACACATTTACAATCGCAGCTGCGTCCGTGAACTTTAGCTTCATCTCGTTCGTCAAGTATAGCATCAACATCCAGAGGGTAAACCAGGCAACGGTAAAAGCCCATGACAGAACTGACATACAAGAAAAAAAACAAACATGATGATCAAGAAACCATCAAAACAAAACGTCCTAGGGATTACAAGAATTGACTATAAATGATCAATGGGGCATCTTGGTGAAAATGTTGAACTATCAAACAAGATCAAAAAACAGAAACCATATCTCAACTCACCAATGACTCGGAGAAAAGACGCCATTACTTCTCATGTGGAAACAAAATCAATGACTAACAATGCTACCAACAAACATAACACTTTCAGCTCTACAAATAAATCTAATGAAATCAAGATTTGAAGGTACTGATCAAAATTGATGAAAATTGAGCCTGACATTCAACAGAAAGATAATGGAGGCATAGACGTGCTTATAAATTCTAAATAAATATAAGACACCGGCTTAAATATTCTTTATCATACTCTGTTCTATTGGTCACACAACCAACAAGGCTGGTTTTATTGATAATGTTATTTAATATACAGAAATCTGAAGATAAACTAACAATTTTGTTGGAGACCAGAATTTTTGCCAGTTCATAACTTTTGCCAGTTAACACATACTTGACGGCCAAATAAAATTCAATAAAATAAGAAAAGAAAAAAGAGAAAATTTACAAAAGTTTTTTGTGGGAACAAAAAAAGGTCTCACGAAATATATCTTAGTCTCAGTAATCAAATCCGACGAATCTGAACATCGTTTGATCACCCGAACTTGCCTGTAAGGCTTCCGTTTGGAAAGCAGGGTTACTTCCACTTCTTCATCGAAATTGTGTTCAATTTCTTTTATTTGTTTCATCGGTTGTATTTGAAGGTTCCATGTATCATGTACATTCTTATGATTAATATAATTATTTGCCGTGTTAAAAAAAAAAAGGTAATTATATAAATTGTTGACCAAAAAAAAAGATCTAAATATAGGTCTTGATGGGTGTTAAGAGTAAGACTCTGCCGCTTTTGAGATATAATAAAACGAAAGATTTTTCTTAGACCTTGACTAGATTATGATCTCAAAAGTCAAGAAGTAGGTCCTCTTGATTTTAGCTTCAGTTGTTGGTTGAACTGAATTCACGCTTTTACGTTACGCTAGGGAAAAATCAAAATCTAGTTTGTATCTACTAAAGCAGAAACTCACACACACCCCATGTAGGGGTCAAATTAGTTGTTTGGTGTTAAATTGTTTAATCTAGTACACACAGATCTGAGTACACACTACTGTTTTTTACTTGTTTAAATGTTTGACAAGTTACTACATCCATATGATCCGCAGTTGTTATTTCTTACCGAAAGACAATGAACAGAGGTTAAAGATTGGAAATTTATTGGAACCAATTGGGTTGCAAACTTGCAAAAAAGAAAATTGGGGAGTTAATATTCACATAAAGGAGAGTCTGATATCGCAGCCACGGGTTGTTCAAATATTTAAGACGCTGCCTAAGTAGATACCCTATATATTGTTATGAAATTTAGGCCGAGTCAAAATCATGTGACTTTTAGTAGACCCAACATTGGACATAGATCTTGATTATCATTCATTGTCCCATTTATAGATCGAGCACTTATTAGTATAATATGCTAGTATCTAATCTCTACATATACTTGCATAAACATACAGATTGATATGACTCGGATAGCCAACTAATGATCCACCTAACTAGATTGGTCGATTAAATTGATATGTGTGTGTGTTTTTTTTTTCTGGTAAACTCAAAATCTCAAAAATAAGCTAAAATTATTAAATTAAGTCGAAAAGCCTTCTATTGTTATTTTACCTAGAGACACTGATCGGTCTCTACCTTGATCTAATGAAAAAGTATGATCACTTATGGATTCATTAAGAATTATTTGGATTCCAGATCATAATCTATTAGAAGTGCAAGGCGTT